CCGGGTCGGCCGCTGCCCCGCGTGGCTCCTGCCAGCCTGTGCTCCTGCCAGCCTGTGCTCCTGGCAGCCCCTCTGGGCCCTGCTGAGCTCCCCCTGTGCCTGTCTCATGAGGATAACCCAGGATCATCTCCCACCTTTTTTGTTGTTCCAGTCCTGGGGCCTGAGCTCTGGCCTGGGCGCTGTCCCTCAGATCTTCAGCTCAAGGCTAGCGCTCACCACTTGAGCCACAGCGCCACTTCCAGCTTTTTTTCTTTTGCTGGGGAATCGAACCCAGGGCCTCAGGCATACAAGGCAAGCGCTCTACCACTGAGCCACCTTCCCAGCCCACATCTCCCACCTTTAGATTTCACCTGAATTCCATCTACAGCATCCCTTTCTCTGCCTGGGGCTGTGCAGAGCCCAGAGCATTTGGACACCGCAGCCGTGGTCTGCAGTGAGTGGCCCCCGCAGCGGCTGGCCCACGCGCTAGTGTACATGAAGTTCTGGTGTCACTGAGCCACCTGCGAATTGTCACCTGCGCAGGGTGGCAGGCCAGAGCCAATGATTTGGAGAGAAAAAAAGCCACATCCAAAGGCTGATGCTGGCCTCGGTGACCTGGTCTATAACGCAGTCTCCAAGGTCTTGTCTCTCTGACGTTGAGTGGGGCCAGCGGCTGTTGACTGTGCTGGGTAGTACTCTTCCTGCGGGAGTGGGCAGTGGTACTGTCTGTCCATGGGGCCCGTTCTGCTGCTCCTGTCCTTGCCTTTGGCCATCCTGCCCTGAGCTTACCCTCGCTTGAGTCATCTTCCTGTCCCTGGCTGCCTGGGCCCGGGCCCTCATCTGCAGCCTGGGTGCTCCAGTCCCTCACCGGACTATCAGAGCAGATGTGGGCCTTGCGCACCAGATCGGTGCTCTCAGCACGGTCCTCCTCTGTGCCGCGTGGGCAGCTCCTCTGTGCCCTGGAATCTCTTCTGAGGTGCTGCGCTCCTGCGGTGACACTCTGGCGTTGCTCCTGCTGGGGCTCTAGCCGAGGTCTGGGTCCATTCCTTAGCTTGTGATGCGGGCAGAGCCTCATTCATAGTTTTTAATGTTCAGGAGTTTCTGAATACTACCCAGTACTTGATAATGATACTGTGGCTAAAAAAGACTGTCTTAATCTCTGGTTGATAGCTTTAGAAATTTATCTCCGTGAAACCTGCTCTGAGCCTTAGTGTCTGGAGGAGCAGTGAGGAGCTCAGAGGAGTCCCTGGGAGCCCCGGTGTGCCCCCGTCCGCTCTGCGCTGGGGCTGTGGTGCCCGCCGAGGACAGCTTCCAGTCTTGCTGTCTGAGAAGTTGTTCTCAGTTCTGAGTGTTTTCATGTGCTCAGCACCGCTGCCTGTGTGGACTTTCCACTGACTGTCCCTCGCCTGTGTCTCCTCTCCCTGCAGTCCCGGTCTTTAGAGTGCGATGCTGTGCACTGACTGTCCCTCGCCTGTGTCTCCTCTCCCTGCAGTCCCGGTCTTTAGAGTGCGATGCTGTGCACTGACTGTCCCTCACCTGTGTCTCCTCTCCCTGCAGTCCCGGTCTTTAGAGTGCGATGCTGTGTACTGACTGTCCCTCGCCTGTGTCTCCTCTCCCTGCAGTCCCGGTCTTTAGAGTGCGATGCTGTGCATGACTGTCCCTCGCCTGTGTCTCCTCTCCCTGCAGTCCCGGTCTTTAGAGTGCGATGCTGTGCACTGACTGTCCCTCGCCTGTGTCTCCTCTCCCTGCAGTCCCGGTCTTTAGAGTGCGATGCTGTGGTACAAGGGAAGGGCTCGGGGCTGCTCAGCTTGGATGCTGTTCATCCCAGGTTCCAATGCCGTGGGCCGGGACCCACCGTGAGGGCTAGGGGGACCCCAAAGGCCAGGACGGCGGCACCCTGGAGCCTGTTCTGCCTTCCGTTCAACCACTGGGTTCAAGGCCACAGAATAAACAACCTTCCATGACGTCTGCTTTTCCTTAAGAGCTGTGGGTAAACATGAAACACCTAACCTGTTAGGCGTTTTCATATTAAAGCTCATTATAAAGTCACTATTGAGTCAAACACAAAGCTCACGTGATAACAAGGGACCTGTCTTCTGTCTGTGCCAACCACGGGGCTGACTTCTGTCCAGCGACCACCTGGGGCTGCTGCCAGCTTATCTGCCGTGCAAGTCACCCCTACAGAAGTAACTGGAGAAAGTTGACACTTCTGGCCACCGATAGGGACCCTGGGTCCCGTTCCTCGCACGCTCTTCCTGCTCTCCACATGGGGCATGCTCTAAGAGATGGGTCTGGGGCTCAAGAGCGCTCTGTGCTGGAGCCGGGCTAGGAAAGGCTTCCGCTCAGGGCACTGAGCTAGAACCGGAACGCACGTGGAATGTAGCTGCAAGTGCTGCTTCCTGATCTTTCTACTGGGTGCTTCCTTTTCTCTGTAGGTCTGGGAGAAGTTCTTAAGTTCTGAGACTCCACGGATTAACATGTTTATGGCCGTGCCCACGATATACAGCAAACTGATAGAGTACTACAACAGACATTTCACCCAGCCTCACGTCCAGGACTTTGTGCGTGCAGTTTGTGAAGAAAAAATTAGGTAACTGGAAAAAGCTCCCTTTCCTGTCCAGGAGGGCTAGTGACGGTCAGGCTGCCGTCAGGCTGCCGCTCGAGTGGTCTGGCTTCCCTTCCCTTGAAAGGGTGTGTCCGCGCTCCTCTGTTGCTCTTTGCCCGTTGGTAGTCCCGTACCGCCCCTGCCGCCCCCAGCCTTCCGCACCTCTGTCTCCCTCTCCCCACTGCCGCTGGTGAGGGAGGGACTGAGAGAGGACAGTGCTCGGGCGCTCTTGCACGGCCCACGATGACCCGCAGTCTGTTTCTGCTCGGTCGTGGCTCTCCAGGTCCTGCTGCCCTACGCGCCTTCTCAGCTTCCTGGCTCCCTGGCTAGGTGGCTTTCCTCCCACGGGAGCAGACCCCTTTGAGCCCGTCAGTGGCAGGAGCTTTGTTCTGTGTTCTCTTGTGAACCTGTAGGCATGGATTATTTCTCAGCTTTATGTGAAGGTGTGACACTGCTGGGCCTGGTGACTCATTCCTATGATCCCAGCTAATCGGGAGCCAGAGATGGGAAGAATCACAGATGAAGGCCAGCTGGAAATTCCATCTGAACTAAGCCTGGCCTGATGGGCGCTAGCCTGCCACCTGAGCTACTTGGGAGGCCATAGGTGTTGGGTTCAGGCCAGCCTCAGGCAAAAGCACAAGACCCTGCCTGAAAACTAAAGCAAAAAGGGCTGGTGCACCTGCCCAGAAAGCAAGAGGCCCTAATCCCCAATACCACCAGAAAAAGAATTTGACCTACTAACCCGAAGTGAACACGCACACTGGGCGTTTCCCCATCCCGCAGGGGTGAGGGGAGGTCTCTGCGGCCAGGGGCAGAGGTGACCGCGTGCACAGGAGGTGGACCCAGGCTGGCCAAAGGACCTGTGCGGTCAGCGGAGTTTAAGATGCCAAGTGCCACCTTCCCCAGCCCCCCAGGCCCACCTCGAGCCGGGTTCCCAGCCCACAGAAGAGCCCAGGAAGCAGCACCCGTCTCCCAAGAGAGCCGGGGGCACGTGAGGCAGTGTGTGTTTGATAGTGCTCACCCCCTGTGGTCACATGGGGGCCCTGGACGTCACCCGGAGTCCGCCAGGAGCTTGACCAGCGCCCCTTCCTCTGCCACCGCCGGTGCCCTCTGCCCTGGGGCGTGTGGCCTCCTCCTGGAGCTACGCTGGACCAGTGCTGTTACTCCTGTGGTTGTGAACATTTGTATGGTCATATTTGCAAAGTACCACCAAAAACCCCAAAGATAACCTTTAATTCGCATTCCTTTGGCAGAACTCTGCGCCTCCTAAAGCAAATCCAATGAATTGTTTCCAAGAAACACTTAAGTTTTAGCCCAAACTCATTTTTATTGTGAATTTCAAGTACAGGGCTATGGAGCAAGGGTGTTTTACAGTCTGTGTCCCGGCTGAAGGCCCGTGTCTTGCGGGAGGCCCCTTCTGAGCTGAGCCCTGTGCTGGTGCCCCAGGCTAATGGTGTCAGGCTCGGCGGCCCTGCCCATCCCCGTGCTGGAGAGGTGGAAGAGCGCCACGGGCCACACACTGCTGGAGCGCTACGGCATGACGGAGATCGGCATGGCCCTGTCCAACCCGCTGACCGCAGCCCGCCTGCCAGGTACCTGCAGCCCAGCGCTTTCCTGTCCTGCTTCCTCTGAACGGCGGCGGCGGGGGTGGGGAGGTGTCCCGGCGACTTACATTGCAGGGGAAAGGAGTGGTGTGTGCTGCTGTCCGGGACGGGCCACCAGGCCAGTCCTGAGCGACGGTGGAGTGGGTGGGAAGGCCTTTCACCCTGCTCTGCCAGGCCAGTCCTGAGCGACGGTGGAGTGGGTGGGAAGGCCTTTCACCCTGCTCTGCCAGGTCAGTGGGGAAGAGTTCTGCTGAGTGGCGGGTGCTTCTGGGCTGGGCCCTGGCCGCGATGCCTCCTCCGTCCGGGCGGCAGCCGCAGACCCGGGTCCGCTCTCCGCAGGGTCACGCTGGCCTGCCCGCCCCGTGCCCGCGGGTGCCGGTGGCCCGTCCTGCACCATGGCTCCCTTCCAGCCCCAGCCGCCTGTCTGCCCTTGTGCCACCCGCTGCTGTAAGCCTGGCCCCTAGCCAAAGGACATTCCGCTTCCTTCTGGCTTGGGGACGTTCTGGGTCGGGTGTCCTCCGACCGAAGGCCCCGTGTCCCTCTGTGCACTCAGCCTTGTGCTGGCTGGGCTGTGTGTCCTCCGGCGGTTGTCCGCCCTCTGCTCGCAGGCAGAGGGGACGGCTGTGAGTCCCGCAGAGCCCTGGACGCTGCCGGCTGTCTCGCATCGCACAGGGTGCTGGCATCTCGCCCAGTCTCATTGCTCTAGTAACTACTAGAGCAATTGTTTGTTTTCATCCTGTACTCCGTCCCTTGCTGCTGTGAATGGAGGAGGGGGGTCCAGAGTCATTAAAATGCGAGGATCCGCTGGGGCCGGCCTCGGAGCACAGAAGTGAGCGTGGTGAACAGCTGGCCACACCTCATAGCCTCTTAGATGTTGGCGCTGGTCGCCGGAACAGAATCAAGTACCTGTGGCTGGGTCCCACGTGCAGGTCCCGGAGGAGCAAGCTCCGCCCCACACCGTGCCGCTCCCGTCCTTAAACCTAGAAATGCGTCTTGAAAGTGCTCTCTCCGGGGATCCATGTCCTCGACAGAGGAGGAGGAGGAGAGGGCTCTTCCTTGTACCTTCCCACTCTCGGCTGCCCCAGACCCGGACAGCCCTGGCTTCGGAGCCTGTGGTTTGTTTCAGCTGCAGCCTCTGGTCCTGGGTGCCGACCTTGGTCCTCTCTGTGTTTGGGACGCGCCCCAGCCGCCAGGCTGCTCCAGCCAGAGTCCTCTCCTGCCAGCCCCTCCCTCCCCCTGCATGTCTCAGCCGTGGGCGGGGGCCTGTCAGATGCCGGGCGGGGTCAGCTCACACCAGAGCCCGCAGAGGTGTGAGGGGGACTGGGGGCATGTTGCTGGTGCCGGGGCCTCTGCTCCCCTTCTCCCCGGTTGCTGTAAAGAGCGATGAATCATTTATAGCCTAGCTGTCACTGGGCCTGACAGCACAGTAATCAGGACTGGGGTCAGAGACATGGAGGTTCTGGTAGCAGCCGGTTCCAGGGGTCCGGGGCCCGGCACCCACGTCCCTAGAATACCATGGGTGCCTAGTACCCGAACCACAGGGCAGGCGCCACAGCTCAGCTCACCGCGCCATCGGCCTGCGCTGCCCGCTGTACACACAGTGTACACCTGTCTCACACCCACCCCCCGACTTGGGGTGCTGTGTACACACGCACAGACTTACACACACAAAGGCCTAAGTGTGCTCTGTTCTTTTGCAACCTTCCAACTAACCTTCCAACTCCCACCTCTTTTCCCTTTCTCCTCAGGCTCCGTGGGGACCCCGCTACCAGGAGTGGAAGTACGTATTGTCTCCGAGAGCCCACAGAAGGAGGGCTGCCCCTATGCTGTCCACGCGGAAGGAAACGAGCGGGGGACAAAGGTGGGTCTGTGGGGTGGGGCCCGCTTGGTACGCAGCGGCAAGGCTGCGCTGTCCCCCGCGCCAGGGCTGGCTCTGGACAGCAGGGACACATGCCAGCGTCTGAGGCCTCCTGCTGCTCTGGCTCCTCGGGGCTCTCTGTGGAGGAAGCCTCGGGGCGGTGGCGGCCTGGCCAAGGAGGATCCCAGGGCCGCAGCAGCCATGCTTGCAGATGGAGCTGGGAACGCCGGTCTGCGCTCTGTGCTGTCCAAGCCCCACACGCTCCAGGGGCCTTCCTGCCACTGTCCTGCACATTTCCTGTGTCGCTCTGGTCTCGGTCAGGGTGACCACAGGCAAGGACATTCATTATCTTATGTCCGTGAGGATTTTCACTGAAGAGCAGAGAACTGCTAGCAATTAAGTCACCTTGGTCACAGTTTTGGAAATGACCTGCCCCCCGGGCTGGCACTAGTGCCACTAGGGCAGGCGCCGAGTCCATACCCCGCCACGGTTCCAAGATGCCAGACGGAGCCTCGGTGCTCAGTCAGGGCCTTGTTTGGACTGTGATCGAGGTGGGCCACCAGCAGGTGTCCTGCCCTTGGCTCAGTCTCTGTGGATGGACCGCGATGGAGGTAGAGCCCCCTGGGAGGGGATTTTGCACAGGCTGAAGCGAGACCTGTCTACACAGCCCTTCTGCGTGTTCCTTGGGGTTTCACTGGTCATTCTGCCCTCACCAGCCCCCGGCTTTGCCCTCTGGCCCTGCCTGGCTTCTGACCCGCCCTCTCCCCTGTCCTGCTTGGGCCAGCCTCCCCGTGTGTGCAGCTTCTCAATCTGCTAGATCCTGGGGCCCTCCAGAGCCAGGCCACTGTTCCCTCAGGATGGGCCAGCATTGGTGGCTTGTCTAGGCAAGATGCTCTGCCTTCAAAACTCACCGCTTTGGGAGCCTGATGCGTTGGCACATGCCCATAACCCCAGCTACTCAGAAGGCAGAAGTAAGGGCGACCTTGATTCAAGGCCAGCACCATGAGATCCTTTCCAAAACAGATAACATGGGGATGTGGCTCAAGGTCACCTGCCTAGCAAGCGCTAGGCCCTGAGTTCAAACCCCAGTACTACAAAAAACAAGACTTTGGACTCAGGTATCACTCAGATGTAGAATACTCGTCCAATTTGCAAAAGGCCCTGGGCATGCTCCCCAACCCTGCAAAAATAAAACCATAGAATTTATCAATTTAGCCGGGCACTAGTGGCTCACACCTGTAATCCTAGCTACTCAGGAGGCTGAGATCTGAGGTTCACAGTTCAAAGCCAGCCCTGGCAGAAAAATCTGTGAGATACAAGACACTTATCTCCAATTAACCATTAGAAAACCAGAAGTGGCGCTGTGGCTCAAAGTGAAATAGCGCTAGCCTGGAGCAAGAAGAGCATAGGGACAGCACGCAGGCCCTGAGTTCAAGCCCCACAACAACAAAAAAAAGAGTTTATCAATTGATAAAGAAGCTCTTCCTGCCCCTGCTTAGTTAGGAGCAGCTACCTGGTATGCTGACAGTGGAGGTCAGAAACTTGCTGTCTGTGAGGGACCATAGAGAGCAGACAGGAGGACCCTTTGCTCTCTCAAAGATGGCCCAGAGGCCCCGCCCCCTCTGCAGCTCTGGAGATCTGAGTAAGAGAGAAACAGGGTCCACTGCGCTGGACCCCCGGACAGCAACCTGACCCCATTGCTTGGGTCCTTGGTGATCCTGTCATGGTCCTCCAGTGATCTTGTTGCAGCCCTTGAGTGTTCTTGTCACCAGCCTGGGTGCGTGCATGCATGCGTGCGTGCATGTGTGTGTGTGTGTGTCTAGAGGCACTCTGGGGAGTGGGACTTTGCTTATCCAGTGACCATCCGTGTCCTCGTCCTGTCCCGTGTTCCTTATCCAGTGACCATCTGTGTCCTCGTCCTGTCCCGTGTTCCTTATCCAGTGACCATCCGTGTCCTCGTCCTGTCCCGTGTTCCTTATCCAGTGACCATCCGTGTCCTCGTC